TCCCTACTCTTGCTTATCTTCACAGAAACTCCATTCTACCACTTTGCTTAATTTTAGTCATTAATTATTTTCTGACCAAGCGCTATCGTGGGCCTAATAGTGCTTTATATTAACACTTACTGCTAGAAATTATAGATAATGTATTATCTAAAACTTCAAGCTCATAGTTCTCTTTTGGTTAGCTACTGCTTGTCTAATACGAGTGCACATTCAGTTAGCACTTGAAGGGAAACAGGACATATGCACAGCATCTCTTCCAGGGTTTGCTTATGGAACCTTCAAAAACTAAAGTGCAGCAAGTTGAGAACGGAGGGCCGCTCAGATGGCAGGCGCCGAAGCAGCCCAGGCTAGCCAAATGTTCAGCAAGGCTGACACCTAGTAAAAGTTTAGTGAACTGCAAAGTGAACGTGAGACAACCGCAGGGCTTCGAGAAAGGCAGTCTAACACCTAGAGGTTTAGGAGCACCTGAGAAAAACTGCTGAGAGAAAAAGCCGCGTTTCCAAACAGACAAAAGCATGTAATGGAAAATGAACCTAACTTTTGGAAGGGAAAGGTCTAAGGATTTGTTGTTTTCTTACCTGGGGATCTGAAAATAGCAGCCCTGTTTCCTTATGTTTTATTATTGCTGCATTCCCAGGAATGTTCCTCGCCAGCACTGGAATATCTAAATCCATTGCCTAGAGGAATACAGAGAAAGAAAACAACAGTTTATTAGGATTCAGGGATTCTGAGATGTTACTGATGACAATTTTAAAATTAAAAGCAGAAACAAGAAACCAAACTTCCTTCCCATCTCTCCAACTTTTTAGCTGAAAAACACCATGTCTATGGTGATCTCCTATATGGAACTTCTCTGAAATAGTTTGTTTATATTTTTCTTAGTCTTGTAGCTTTGAACATATTATCAGAAGCAATCAATCCAGAAAGTCAATGGATAGCTGTTTCATCCGTTACTATCATCTTCCACCTCAAAGTATGCAGTTTGTTTCCCATTGGAAGCTCCTGACATATGGCAGGCTTGCAGAGGATGAAATTAAGGTTCAGATCAAAGGTTGTCACTGTCACTCCTGCCGCTATTGTGCATAGATAAGAAGATTAGTTCATAGCACAAAAAGGCAGTCTCCCCAACAAAGTAGCTGTTCTCTTGTTCCATTAAAACACACTTTTCACAGATTTTCTACAATGTGCAGAACTGGACAGATGTGGGCAGTTCCAGGACAGTGAAGGTGACTGTGGAAATCACTTGGCTCCTTCTCCTCAGTTCTGATTCCTACTGGCCATCTAGGACTCTGGACGTTTGTTTTTTTTTTGACAGCATCTGTTACTGTAGCCTGTCTTGGACTTTGAGCTTTCAGGGAATGCAGAGAAGTATGCAGTGATGCACCTTCTGACTGAACTGTACCAAGGAGGAGCGAGAAAAGGTTATGCTTTCAGAACACATTATGCTTTCAAAACATATTATCTACAAAGCTATTGGTATGGGACTCCTCAGAGACAAGGAATGCATCTGAGGAAGTAGGGTTTGATTCCACATAAATTACGGGCTGGTTGCTTGATGTATTTATTCATTTATTTGTATGCATATGTATGTGCGCATGTATGTATATACATAAAAAAAGGAAAGGACGTGTGGGGCTCGACATCGTAGCATTTCAGGTTGCCTGCAGAATCACAAGCAGAGACGCAGCACAGCATCCATTCAAAGCTGGTAAATCATTTCCAAGAGATCTAAAGCCTGGCAACTTTTAAAAATACAGCTTAGATTTTGAAGTAACTAGTGTGCAAACCCTGGCCACTTAACTCTTACTCATGCATATCCTGATCTGAAACTTTAATTGCTATTGATTAATTTGAAAGTCTTGAGATGCATTGCCTGTAAAACCAGGAAAACTTATATTGTACAATTATTACAGTGTCAAACAAGAGAAAGAAACTCACTCCCCCAAATCTTCAATCTGTTTCATACTGATTCCCTGTCACTTCAGAGTGAATGCATTTTTAATGACTGTCATTACACTCCCGGATGGGGAGCAATTTTGCTTCAGTCTACATAGCAAGAAAACAAAACTCCAAGGAGAAAACCATGTTTTTTCATACTTCGGACAAAACTGAAGACAAAAATACCCTGGTTGGTAATGTACAGAACCAATTATGTTTTTAACAGTGAGGGACTGCTGTGACTTAGCAACATGTCTTAATAGCTTAAAATATCCAAGAGAAATGCTGTTTAAATCACCACTGCAGACAAATTTACTCTGGACAAAGAAATTCTGTAGTCCTTCTGGCATGAACATCTGCTTTGCAGCAGTTAGCTCTAAAAATAATAATAACCCTTAATGAAATAACCTGTTCTACACTTCGTATCTGAAACTACTGGATCAGCTGGAAGGAATTTAAACAAATAGTTTAACAAAGTGATCACAAACCAGAATAAATGAGAAATATAAAAACTACAGACCAGATTTCTGAACTTATCTAAGTGTCTAAAGTTGTTGAGATGCAGCTTTTTTTTAAATAAAAAAAGAAGTAATTTTGGTGAGAGGAAATACGGGTTTTGGTCATCCACAAATTATTTTGTGATTTGCTCTGACTTCACTGTTAAACAAAGCAAATCTGTTTTCCAAAGGCAGATTTACAAAACGTACGATGACAGTATCTACTTATCAGTACAGCGAAGTTCGTAGAACTTACTTCAAAGTTCACCCAGAAGACGAGAGATACCGGTGCCCTACTCTGCCTGACGGCTTTTGAATCTGCAGGCCAAGGAAGTTGCTTTTGGCTCTAATTACCCAACCACAGACCTAACACGGGGTTCCCACAGAAGCGCCAACGTCTCAAAAAGAGACAGAAGTTCTGGTTCAGCTCTTTTTTCAGCCCTTCCTATTGACAGGCTTAAATGCCCTTGTGTTCAGTCTGCTGGCTGTTGATCTCATTCAAACATGTTCAATGAACAGGGAATGAAGATATTTTACCTGAACTTCTGAACTGAAAATCAAGAGCTTGATAGTGGCAGTGAAGTGTGTCAGCGTTCATTGTCACCTGCCTGAGGCTCTCTCCTCACCTCTCTGTATTTCTCCTTTTAAACAACAAAACTGTAAGAGTATTTCAAGTCTGGCTACTTCCCAAACAAGCTATTGTCCACTCAAGGGAAAAAGCACCATTAAAAAAAAGAAAGAAAGAAAGAAAGAAAGAAGAAAACGCACAAAACACAGCAGAACGACCCCAGGACTGACGGCTGGAAGTGCCGCCATCCCCACAATAGTTACCTGCGAGACAGAGAGGCGTTTGGACTCGAGCATGTCAGAGGCAGTGAGCAGCGGACACTGCCGTCACGCTGCCCATCGACAGTGATCATCAAAGATGTGAGTGCCCTGTGGCACTTCTGTGTTGGGCCTGACCTAATGGTGTCACTGCTTAGGCTGGCACAGCATTGCCGTACTGCAGTTTAGATGGAACTGTAGCGCACACTTAAAAAAAAAATTGTCATAAGATATGTTCATTCACTTCTGCTTCTGAATGCTACATAGTTGATGACTCATTGAAGTTGATCACTAAGTATATATTTCATTTTCCATAATTTCTGAAATCGAGGGAAAGACTTTTGTTCTGTCTTATAGAGTTGGAGGGCAGTAACTGCTACATCATAAGAAAACTTTCGGGTCCCAAAACACATAGGTACCAATGAATTATAGCTACTAAAAGACAGAACAGATGGCCAAATACATAAGTTGAGGGGCTGGCTTTATACCAGCTAGCCTTAAACAAATGGATTGGGCTGTAAATAATTACTGCATGAAGTAGCTTAGAATTTAATTTAGATACTTAGTCTATTTTTAAGCAGTAAAGAGAATCATTTGCATTGTTGAAAATATGTGTAATTTACTGACCTAAGTTCCACAAATAATAGCATAAAATAACATTTTAGTCCATTGGCCATCTGTTTTGTTACATTATTCTGACTGCAAATGTCTTTTAATGCTATTTCAGAAGGATGCAGGGTGCAAATTTCAGCTTTGGAAGCATGCTACACAATAAGCATTTCTAACCAGCAGTATAAGGCTTATAGAGTAAATACAGATTTTATTTACTATTTTGTCTTCTGGATTGTCCCTCATTTTCTTCTTCCTAGCCTATGCATCATTTTGTTGGCCCCTCTTCAACTTTACTGCTCTACAACATCCCTTCATTTTTTTTTTTTTATTATTTTTATAGTTTGCTATGGCTTACATTCCAAACTACTAGGTCTGTACTTCCTGTGTTGTCTAAGACTGGATTTTGCCCTACAGCAGAATAAAATCTGGCCATCTCCCTTTCCTATGATTTTTTTTTTAATTGGCTTTTTTTTGGTAAAAGCGTAACAATCTAATGATTTTTACAACAGTTGGTATACTCTTGAGAGCACAGAAAAAGTGCTCTGATGAAATGGTGCTGCAGTCAAAACTTTTTTCTTATCAACTACATAGAGAACTTACTTATAAAATTTTCCAGCAGTAGCACCTTTTTCACAACCACATGCCCAGGAGCACGCAGAACTCCTGAGTTTTCTGAGGAAGAGATGTATTTTAAATGCTTGCTATAGCGTTTGTTTTCTCTTCTTCAAATGCCAAATAAAAAACCAGATCAGTTGTTAGGCAAAATCTCTGAGACATCAGTTCTAGATGACAAAGTAATTAGTTATGGTTTCTAGTTCTTCCATACCTTAGGGCAAGTTGAAATAGATATGACTATATATTTATCTCATTTATCTATTATATATTTATCCCATGCTAAAATACTGTTTACAGATTCATGACCTTGTTAAATTTTGAACTTTCAAGTGAATGAAAGTTGCATTTCCAAATTCAAGCAAGATGTTATCTCCAGCCTAGGCCCAAAAGACTTTTATACATAGTTTCCTGCCTTATTAATTTAACAAGATCTTAACAGATGGCCCTTCCTACTGCTGGCCATCTCAAGCAGGGACTTGACTTTATTAGACTGTCACTGCCTCTGAGAGAGAGGCTTTTACAGTAGGATATTTTATAAGCATGTCATCAAATCCCACCGTACAACTGTCCAGTAAACAGACATACAATACCAAAACCCTTATAACTTTAGAAGAAGAATTCAAACAGGTCTGAGGTACTCAGAAGAGCATGCTTCCAATAGTTCTCAAGAGATAACTAAAGACCTAATTCTGCTTGTAGAAAATCCTGACTCAGCTGGGACCAGAGCTGTTGTCTCACGAGCACCTGGGCCATGTCTTCTGGACTTTCCTTCCTGTAACGCAAGATTTCAGTTTGTACCTGTCAGTGCTACCTCATTGGCTTGTAACCAATATGCACCTGAGCCAGCGTGCTCAGGCTTCTGAAAGCGTGCCAGCTCTTTTTATCCCTGTTACGTGACTTCCATGATAAACTCCAAGTTATGAGTTAGCAGTTTAGAGATTAGGCTGCCCTTCCTCCACTGTTCAACAACAAGGCAATATAGGACTGAGGCTGGGGGAAAGACGTGGGTTACACCTATGGTTATAGATTTTCCAGGAGGAAATATTCCACTTCAGAATATTTGAAATTGCATTTTATCTTCAACACATGATTATACCTGAACACAAACCAAACCTGACTATTAGGTTTGACGTTATTCCACCAATGTAATAACAGAAGAAAGGGGAGCAGGATATTTTTCTCTTCTTTTTATGAAAAAGTCATCACGTACAAGGAAATAGCTAACAGCCTGCTATAGGTCAAGCCTTGCACTTAGAAGAGCGAATTTAATTTTTCCACTGTGGTCAATTGCCAGTTTATTTTAGCACGTTTAGCTGTTAAACTCAGATTAAGACTTAAAGGTAGATTAAATGTTGATTAACTTTGTTTTTAGTAAAGGTAGTATCTTCAGTAGAATTAAATGTATCAATCATTAGACTAGCCTAGGACATGATATGCACAGCTACATGTAAGATGAAAAATTAATACTACCTAATATAAAAATACATATAAAAATAAATTCAGCATGAAAAATTAAAATTAATACTTCTTGATAATTCATCCTAATATATAATTTTTCCTGATGTAAGAAAAACATCAAAATGGAGGAAGCTAACATGGCAAGTGTATATAAAGACATCCCGCATAGAATGCTCTTTTGCCAGAATAGTCTTGTAGTTCATAGAGAAAGAAGAGAAATATAACTTGAAGTATTTACGATTCTGTTCGTGTAGTAATTTTCAGTGAGAAGAACAGTTGGTGGAGGGGGGTCTTTTTTTTGTTTGTTTTGACTGGTCTGGGTATGAATTGGGAATAAATTAGTCAACATAACTGTATAGTGGAAACTTAAAGGAACAGCTTTCCACTAGAGGTGGCATTTGACTATTTAATAGCCCTGACAGGATAATAGAATAGTTCAGCCACACAGAGAAGAGCTCAAATAAAAACTTTCCGTGTTGATTTAGTCTTATAGTTATCAGATTCAAAACTTGTCAGAATTGCAACCTCAAAAGAGGAGAGCAAAAATCAATAATTCCTGAAGCAGGCTCAACATTTCTGCTGAAGTAAACTGGCATTATCTTTTTGCTTTGAGTTACCACATATTTGTTAAGACACTGAGCTTACAAGATTGCTCCCTCTCCTGATAAAAGCTAAGGGAAGTGCCTTTTAACTGCTCAAATCGGATGGGAAAATTTTGGGGAAAAACTATAGCAATTGTCCGTCAGTCCCGAGTTTGCATAACAACTTGTATCAGGCCAAGTACACTTGCACTTCTGTTGCAGATGCTGTGTCTCTTAACAGTCATTCTGGTTTGCCTTTTTTGCCCCTTTTTTCCCTCCCTCTCCAACTCACTGACGCTCTCAGGAAACAAATCAGATTGGTTTTTGGTCAACTGTGACGTGTGTAGTCCTGAGGGTAGCATGGAACTGGTGAGGAGGAGGTGACAGTTAGTAACTTTTACTTCTCTAAAGTCATCGACTTAGTTGTGGCTGTGTACTGTGTTGGTACACTCCACTTCATCTCAACTACCGAACACACAGAATCTGTCTAGCCTGCCACACTGATAGGTGTGGAAATGTCACAGTCTGTAGCAATTGTTTATAGAGTATTGTTGCTGTGAAACAGCAGCTGCTTCCACCTCTGAGCATTGGCATTTTAGAAAGGAAATACACATTTGCTACCTTACCACCACCCGACTTTCATAATTCTTACAATGCTCACTTAGTTCCTACTTGTGAAGGACTTTCAGGTGTGTGGAAGAAAAGCATGCTGGAAATGCAACATGTGATTACTCATTAGAAACAGAAATAGAAGATCCATTATTAGAAATCATGTAATAGTTTCTGTGATCTTCTGAGATCATCACAAACCAGCATTCAGCAGTCACCAAAACCCACTGAATAGTAAAAGGCGTCTGCCCAAAGAGCTTTCACTTTAAGTACATTTATTTTTTTCCTAGAAAGCATTTGATACTAAGCAGTGCCCTACTTTGACAGGTATGAAATAAACCTGGTTATTCATTTTCAATACTGATGGCAAAAAAAATAACTGAGCATGTCATTCATTCATTAATCATTTCAGAATTAAATAACCAATTACAGCTCTTAGATTGCTTTTTGAAAGGATGTAAAAATAAATGAAAGTCTATTCTAGCAACATTACAAGGAAGTGGATGTTGAATCAAGAATAGTGACAACCCCAGTAAATCAGAATGATTCTTATATCTCAGGTCTGTATTGTTAATTTAACAGGATTGATAAAATTACATTCTGTCCTTTAAAGAATAAATAGACAAAGCATAAAAAACTGTCAGTTCAAGGGAAGAAAACCTTAATTACTATCACTTGCAAAAAGAAATATTTTAGTTTTGTCTTCACTAGCTTTGAAACATGGGCATAAAATGTTGACACACATTTCCAGTGATAAAAGGCAGTTTCAGATTCACTGTAACCTCAGTGAAAAACCTTGCCGCTAAGATGCAATTACCTCCAGAATTGCAGCAGACATCCCCTCTGAAATGGAGCTGTTCACCACAGCAAAGCACCTTTTCATAGCAGCATGAAGATCATCTTGTGGCACCTCCTGTAGTAAATGTACTCCAGGTGCCCTAGAAATACAATGCACAAATAGGACACCTCCTAAGAACATGCTCTAACAATTCTTCCTAGAACTTAGGGCAATGATGGAAGGTGGTCAGAGCAATTCAGGCATGGTTCTGACGCTAACATCGCTTGCCCACGGGCAAGCCACTTTACCATGTTAGCTTTCTATCTGTAAATGCAGTTATAAACTCAATTACACATTGCTATCTGCTACTTCATTGTCTGTTATTCTGACGTTTTATGGTTGATCCCTTAACACTGTGCTCTATTAACCACAATCAGTCTCATAAATGAAGGATCTGAGTTCAATGGATAGGGGTGCAATTTTCCCGTAAGGAATTTGTGTAGTATAGAGAGGATGCATGCAGAGATTTATGAAAAACACACAGTTTAAATACTTGGAGAAATGCAGTGTGATCATCAGAATGGTCAACTGCAGGAGATGCTGACTTTTCAGATGCTGGCTTTTGGGGATGGAATGTGGTTCTGAAAGATCTCTTCTGCTTCCTCTTTTATTAACAGCACTCTTCTGTTCTGAAGGGTTACATTTCTACTGTCCTCCTCTTCCTCAGATTAATGAAGGTCAATCAAATCAAGGGTGAAGGGTGGGAAAATAGGGTAATTGGGTGTTCAGTCTCAGATGAAGTGAATGAGATCTTTAAGACTGATGATCATTTTTGAAAAGCTCGCATCTCCTCCGCTTGATGAGCCTGCTCCTGCCTCTTTAACCTCAACATGAGATCACTAAGCCAGATGGCAACACAAGTGCATTTGACATTAAGAGCAGCTCCTTGTCAACTAGACTTTGTTAAACATTGCTTTTCTGATTGTGCAGTAACATCCAGCTTCTGCAGAGCTAAATAACCATATCAATTGGAGTATAAATGCATGATTACAGGAGTCACGTTTCCCATGATAGAAAACAAAAAACAATATCTCTTGCTCCAAAAATGGAATTGCAAGACACGTATTTTATGCAGATTTTATTATCAGATACCATCAATCAGAGATAATATGGCTGTTCTGTTCAAGTCAGACAATTCTAGGTTCTGCAGACACACAAAAAAAATCTCGTTTCTCTAACATTTGTATCCTTCAATCAGGAGCCATATAAACTAGGGACAGAAAACAGCTGTACAGGGTTATCTTGTCCATCTACTCATTTACCCAGCAACAGCAAGCATGCAAAAATCTTGCAGAAGCCAGGATGAAAGAAAAAATGAAAAGACCCAAAAGAATAATAAATATAAATCACACTAAATCAGATGTGATTTAACACACAAACCATGAAGAGATCTACTGGTTAGTCTAAAATCTAAAATGTGTACAATACCGAGTCTGAGAATGTTACATGCCAAATAATCAGTACACATTCGTTTGTTAGTTATATAGAGCTGTGCATGTATGTTCATTCATATATACAAAAGAGCATTTATGCACATGATCTAAAAAGCCAGTCAGCCAACTGCTTTCACTTGGAGCAGATAAAAGACTTAACATTAACGTCTTACCTTTTAACTTTTTCCTTAACTTCACTTGTAAAAAGTGGATCAACCTAGAAAGGAATATACACACAGGTATATGGCACTACTTAGCACTATAGCATATGTTTGAAATACCCAGAAAAGAAGAATAAATTTTATCTTTTCACACTAAATCAGATGTGATTTAACACACAAACCATGAAGAGATCTACTGGTTAGTCTAAAATCTAAAATGTGTACAATACCGAGTCTGAGAATGTTACATGCCAAATAATCAGTACACATTCGTTTGTTAGTTATATAGAGCTGTGCATGTATGTTCATTCATATATACAAAAGAGCATTTATGCACATGATCTAAAAAGCCAGTCAGCCAACTGCTTTCACTTGGAGCAGATAAAAGACTTAACATTAACGTCTTACCTTTTAACTTTTTCCTTAACTTCACTTGTAAAAAGTGGATCAACCTAGAAAGGAATATACACACAGGTATATGGCACTACTTAGCACTATAGCATATGTTTGAAATACCCAGAAAAGAAAAATAAATTTTATCTTTTTTTTTTTTTTTTTTACTAAAATATTTAAATGCATGAATGTGCTGAGCTGTAAAATCATACCACAGCTCTGTAACTTGGTGGTTACCTTTGACTCCTCAGACAAACGCCCTCGTGAGCGACCGACACTCGGGATATGCAGCGGGGGGGAGCGCGCAGTACCGCAGCGTGAACCGACTACTCCACTCCAAGCCCTTAAGGGACTGCTCTAACGCAGCGGAGCCTGGGGCTGCTGTCAGAAGGGGAGGTTCCACTTCTTCTCCCCGACGTCCCTCTGGCTGCAGGTTCTCATTAGAGCTAGATCTATTTAACATGAAGGACTGTGTTCAGATGACTCTGCTAAGGCTAACATGATTCAAATGACCGATTTGACAACTCGCTGTCTAAGTGAGGAACAGTGCTCTGATGTGCCCAGCAGCTGTCTGTCCCTTCAGGTACGGAGCAACCAACGCGAGGAAGGAAAGGAACTTCCCAGGCTCCAGTCACCACAGGGAGCAATCCGCATGTAAACCGAGACAGTCGGATAGATGTCACGTGCTGACAGAAACACTTCTTTGGAAACCAATAAACACAAAATTCTAAAATAGAGTCTAACATGAAGGCATGCTAGAGTTATTAAAAAGTTGTCTAAGCCGGGCAATTAACTCCAGCAGGTTTATTTACAAAGCTTACCTATGTCTGCTATTTTCATGTAACATGATTAAAAGAAATATACAGAACTTGGAAATCCTTAACTAGACATGAAGAACAGAACTAGACTTGTTTTATTAAGGCTGACTGACTATATTAGATTAATTTATGATAGCTTGCACAGCATGCAGCAGTTGTAAGTACTGGGAACAACATAGCTTTTTTTTTTTTAATGCATGTTAATATTTTGGTTTGGGGTTTTTTTTTAACACTGTGAGATAGAGAACACTTACAAAGCATTTTAGAACATTCTTTTGGAAAAAAGTCAGAATTTATTTTATAACTATGATTGTGTACTTTGAACACAAGATTAATTACTTCATGAAAACAGGGCTTCATAAATTAAAAGATTCAAGCGAATCACTCTTGCACTGAGGAATGAATTCCTACTGAATGCAAGAAATAAAAGGCTTGCATAACTGCTTAAGAAAGTATTTTTGGTAACAGCAGGGGGGAAAATCCAGTGCCCTTTCCTGAAGCACCACCTGATCCTGGCGACAGAGTATGGTACAAATCCATCCACTAATCCAGTATGTCATGTCGCAGGTTCCTTGGATATTTCATACTGAACTTCACAATTGCTATTTCTACATAAATATCTTTTCAGCTTTTTCCCCAAAGTACTATTTTGATGCTGAGTTCCTCTCATGAGGAACTATATTCTGTTTCCATTAAAATCAATCGAGTACTTGTAAGTGATTTAATGAGCAGTGGGATATGGTCTTTTGCTCTTCTACCTTTCGAAGGATGAGAAAAACTACAGCCTGTGACTCATAAAATTTGTAAGATATTAATTTCTATCCCATCTACTTCTGTGGAAGCCAAGAAATTGCCATCTGCCTCATAAACAGAACAATCCTTTAAGCGGTATTCTTCTATTGGTAGATATTCTAAGGAGCCTGGGCTGAATATGAGAATTCAGTTAAAATATTACTTTCAGGATGGGTGTAGCAATGACTTAGAGAAGTGATCCCCCTGAGCTACATTTAGGAACTTGAGGGGGCACAGTTATCTAACCACAGGCTCAATATAACAGAAATTAGATACAACATAAACTGTTCAGTAAGTTGGAAAAGTACTTAAAAGATGTGAATGCTTCCAAAGCCAACTGACTATGGCAGGATGCCTAGCAACTTAGCACAGTCTCAGAAAAAGCTACTGAAAAGAAAAGTATGTTATTTCCACCCAAAACGTCTCCAGGATCCAGTTCTTCCACAGGTAGAGTGTTCGTTGCCACATTTTATTTTTTTACCTATTAACGCAGCAGGCAAATATGACCATCGGTTACCTATCATCTTTTGTTAAAAAACCATCCATGCAGAGGAAGAGCCTTCAGAGAGCTGCACATTTCATCAATTTAGCAGAGATTAGAGGAAGGCAGCTTGCGCTGCATGCGTAGTTTCTGTCGAACAGATGAGATGACACATGGAAAGGGGAGTGGGCACATAGCAAGAAACCGCACCTAACCACACCAGATCCGCTACTCAAGGCAGTTCTACTCCGCTGACAGGCAAAGAAACATCTGAGATATGTTCAACAGCGCAGAGAGTCACAGATCAAGTGCTGCACAAAGATGAAGGTGCCTGTTAAGCACAGGGCCTACCATGATCAAAATCTAGGAAATCTTCTATAAACACACTATATTAAATTGTTGTCATGTAAAAATTAACGCAAGCAGAAGCAATGGTCCAGAAACATCTTCATTATAATGCTGGGACTACTGTAGCCCTCTAGACTTTGTATGGAAAACCAGGTCTTAGTATGTTTAAAGTTCTGTCAGAATGTCACCCAGAGTACTAAAGAGTGAAAAGCTCTATCTGCAACCATAGTCAATACGGATAGGAAGAATTTGCTCAATTGCTTGGGTTTGTGAGGTGTTGGCAGCATCACTGTGAAAGGAATCAGCTTTATTCACAGTAGCAGGTGACCCCACATCATTACAATTTTTATCTGATCGATTGCTGAATAGGCTCAGCAAGACTGAGCTTCCCCTACAACTGAAAACACAACTGCTGTCTGCAATGCAACACAATTTGCCTGCAGCAAATGCACCAGAAATAGAAGATCCTTGCGAACAGACTAAACTTGGCCATTCTACATCATCTTTTCCACATACTAAATGCTTAAGGAAATTCAATGTCTTCTGGCTTAACCTGTGGCTCTACTACTGCAATTTGGGACAATTAACAACTTGTAAAAAATAGTCTTAATTCAGCTGAAACAATTTGGCAACTAGGATCTAAATTAATAAAACTTCAGGTCTAAAAAAAAACATAGAACCTTTTTAAGAAATATTGGAACGGCTCATTTCAACGTTTCTAACAAAAGTTTCATTTTCAGGGAGTTTTTCCTGAAGAACAAGCAAACAAAGGTTTAGAAGAGTTGTCGGCTTAATGGTAGCAGTAGGTCTTACCGTTTAAAACATATCTCAGTCAGTAGGACACTTATTCAGGATGTAGCTGGCAGAATTTCATATTCCTCGGCAGGCTAAAGAATTTGAAATTGTCTTTGTCTCCTATCTGACTTTCCTAATTACTGTGCTCTAGGAGATTCCGGAGCAGGTAATTAGACTTCGTCTAGTTGCTTAGTTTAGTTGTGGCAACAGCTGTTTCATTTTAGAACTAGGCCAGAAAACATACAGTAGGTAACAGCCATCCCTTATAAATAGATGGGCTACATGACCCGCTAGGTCCCTCCATCTGTGGAGGCAGATATTCAACTAAAACTGTCTCAATAGGCAAGGAAAGAAGTTGGACAGATGAAAAATAGCTGTCAGTGAAAAACAGTATCATTACAAACACAGCAGTATTCTGTACTGTCTACAAGGACGGTTCAGAATTACGCAGAGAGTACAACTGGGCTTCACGAGGCTACCCAACAGCTGGACACAAGTTTTGTGGCCTTTCGTAAAGTTTCATAAGCTTCTATTCTTGGAATATAGAGCTGCTGAAAATCAGCTATTGTTTCAAATTTCATTACAGGAATGAACAGAAGGAAAACTGGAAGAGGAGGTAAATGCTAAAAATTTTACATTATACAGGACCTTCAGTGTTACTTAGATTGCACCATTTGAGACAATCACGCATAGAAAA